AAAGGGAGGGGGACGAGAAGGAGGAAGAAGATGGGGAAGGGGAGGGGGACGAGAAGGAGGAGGACAATGAAGAGGAGGAGAACGACAACTGTGGGGTCCTTGGTGCTCTCAGAGCTTGGTGGTTTTTCTGGAAGACGTTTCATTCCCAAACTAGAGAACATCATCAGTGCTGGAAGAAAGGGGAGGGTCATCCTCCTTCTCTTCCTCTCCACATACCCCCTCCCTTCTAGCACTGATGATGTTCCCTAGTTCGATCATGAAACGTCTGCAAGGAAACCACCCAGCTCAGAGAGCACCAAGGACACCCACAGTCCTTTTCCTCCTCCTCCTCCTCCTCCTCCTCCTCCCTTCTTCCCTACCTGGCAAAAAAGAGGTTGAGGCTTTGGAAAAAGTGCAAAAAAAAAAAAAGACCAACTAAAACAGAGACTAAAACAGAGGAAGGACAATTGCAGGATTTGGGAATGGCCTGTCTGGAGAAGAGAAGGACTCTGTGTGTGTGTGTGTGTGTGTGTTTGTGTGTGTGTGTGTGTGTGTGTGCGCGCGCAGTCATGATAACTGTAGTCCAGTATTTGAGGGGCTCCTACAAAGAAAAGGGGGGGGTCAACTTATTTCCCAAAACCCCAGAGGGCAGGACGAGAAACAACGGTTGGAAACCGATCAAAGAGAGAAGCAACCTGGAATTAAGAAGAAACTTCCTGACATGGAGGACAGTTAACCGGTGGAACAGCTGGCCACCAGACATTGTGGGCACTCCATCACAGGAGGTTTTTAAGAAGAGACTGGACAACCCTTTGTCCAGAATGGTATAGGGTCTCCTATTTTAGCAGGGGGCTGGACTAGAAGACCTCCAAGGTCACTTCCAAACTCTGTTATTCCATGATTCTTGATCGGTCTCCTGTTTGAGTGGGTGGGTTTGATGAGAAGACCTCCAGCGTCCATTTTTCTATTCTGCATTTTATTATTCTATTCTACTATTCTACTATTCTACTATTCTACTATTCTACTATTCTACTCTACTCTACTCTACTCTACTCTACTCTACTCTACTCTACTCTACTCTACTCTACTCTACTCTACTCTACCTATTCAATTCTATTCTACATTCCATTCTATTCCTGTTAATTCCATTCCATAACGCTCTGCTCTACTCTACTCTACTCTACTCTACTCTACTCTACTCTACTCTACTCTACTCTACTCTACTCTACTCTATGCTCTACTCTACCTATCTGTTCTGTTCTATTCTTTTTATTCTATTCTGCATTTTGTTATTCTATTCTACTATTCCACTGTACTCTACTCTACTCTACCTATCCTATCCTATCCTATCCTATCCTATCCTATCCTATCCTATCCTATCCTATCCTATCCTATCCCTATCCCTATCCCTATCCCTATCCTGTCCTGTCCTGTCCTGTCCTGTCTAGTCTAGTCTAGTCTAGTCTGGAAAGAATGAAACAGTTGATGCTTCCCCAGCCATCTCAGAACCACAATAAAAGTTGGAAAGCACCTTGGAGGTCATCCAGTCCAACCCGTTGCTCGGAGCCCCTACAACATGTCAGACAAGGGACTGTCCAGTTTCTTCTTGAAAGCCTCCAGCGACAGAGCACCCACAATGTCCGGTGGCCAGCAGTTCCACAGGTTAACTGTTCCCACCGTTGGGAAATTTCTCCTTACTTCCAGGTTGCTTCTCTCTCTGATCAGTCTCCGACCCTTGCTTCCTGTCCTGGCCCTCAGGAACAGCCTTCACACAAGCCTGGCTGAACCCCAGATCCCATCCAAGGCTGTTTCTGTTTCATCTGTCACTTTTTAAATATAAAATTTCTACGGCACCCAACTCACCTGTGAAGCTCTGGGCGGTTGGCAGCAGCGTAATAAAGCGATCCGAACAGCTGAATAAAAGCATATAGATTAAAAAAAAACAGATTGAGAATTAATATTTCTCGGTAGATTCCACCCGAACCCTCCCAGCTCTCCCGCTTACACAGTTGTGATGTCTAGTTGAAGCTTGAGCAACACCCTGGTGCTCGGCAGGATTGTGGTCACCTCGAGCGAAGTGGCTCCTTAAGAGGTGTTTCAGTGGCCCCTCCCTGGCTGAGCAACTGCCAATGGTGGAGAGGGCAAGCTGGGTGAGGCCATTGGGGCAGGAGGGACACCGTCCAAGAAGAAAAGTGATGGGGGGAACACGAGGAGGAGGAGGAGGGTGCGAGGAAGCAACTCTGGTGTCACCCACCCCCTCCAACTCTGGTGGGGAAAGCCCTGGGCTAGGGGAGGAAGGGACCCCCTTTCAAACCAAGCAGGAAGAAAAATGTAGGATGGGATAGGATAGGATGGGATGGGATGGGATGGGATGGGATGGGATGGGATGGGACGGGACAGGACGGGACGGGACGGGATGGAATAAGGAATAGGGAATAGGGAATAGGGAATAGGGAATAGGGAATGGGGAATGGGGAATAGAGTGTGGAGTGGAATAGAATGGAGTAGAGTGGAATGGATGGGAATGGAACGGAACTGAATGGAAGAGGGAATAGACTAGAATAGACTGGGATGGGATGGGATGGAATAGGGAATAGGGAATAGGGAATAGGGAATAGGGAATAGGGAATAGGGAATAGGGAATAGGGAATAGGGAATAGGGAATAGGGAATAGGGAATAGGGTAGAGTAGAGTGGAGTGGAATGGAATGGAGTGGAATGGATGGGGATGGAACGGAACAGAACTGAATGGAAGAGGGAATAGATTAGAATAGACTAGGATGGGATGGATGGGATGGGATGGGATGGGAGGGGAGGGGAGGGATGGGATGGCACAACCTAGGAGAAAAAACCCATCAGGACAAGATCCCAAAGTCCACATTCTGGACCAAGAAGACCGCCGGTTGGAAAGAGGGGTCAAAGAGTTGAAAAAGCACCTTTGGGACAATGACAAAAAGCGAGAAGGCCTTGGCCTAGTTTGGATGGCCTCACAATGTCCCACATGGCAGATTTTCTTCTTCACCCACTCTCCTTTTTTAGACACAATCAATATTTCAACAGCAGGAAGTGACATTTTGTCAAGTGGAGAGGGGAGGACTGCCACCTGCCAATCCGGCAGCCCCTCCCCATTCAAAGAGGTGGACACTCCTGCTGCTGAAGCTTCTCCATTTCTACCTGCAAAGGTCCTGTGAAGAGTCTGATCAGGCACAAGACCTGGACCATCTGGATGGTCGGCCTCTTCATGGTGGCTCCTAAGAAAAGATAACACAAGGAGGAACCACAGTTGCATGTAAACCCCATGCAGGATCTTAATAAAACTTTGATGGATTTAAGGGACCTTGAAGGTCTTCTAGTCCAACCCCTGCTCAAATATTGCCCCTACACCATTTCATATAGGTGGCTGTCCAGTCTCTCCTTCAAAGCCAAGAGGGAAGGCCCATAGACAAAAGGGTTCTGTTGTCAGCAAAGTGAAGGCTTACCTGGGCCAGGTCCGTCAGTCAGGTTATCGTTGGAGTCCCTTTGTGGTTGCCAAATTGTTGAGAGAATCGGTTCGGGTCCGTTCTTTCTCCCAAGCCGGGAGAGAAGCGACGAGCGAAAATCAAGACCTAAGGCAGTGGTTCTCAACCTTTTTAATGCCGCGACCTCAACCGGTCATAAGTCGAGGACTAAACCGGTCGTAAGTCGAGGACTAAACCGGTCGTAAGTCGAGGACTACCCAACCGGTCGTACATCGAGGACTTTCCCTGCCCGGGAGCGCCACACATGCGTTGTTCCGCCCCCTGCGCCGGCCGAGGCGTAGCTGGCAAGCGGCAGAGACGGAGCAGGCCGACCACCAGCTGGCCCAGCCCAAGGGAGGTAAGGCACCCGCTGGAAAACGGGGGGAAAATGGCGGACAAACAAAATGGCGGACAAAAAAAATGGCGGACAGCCTTGCTTGGCGACCCCCGTGAAATGGTCGATCGACCCCAAATGGGGTCCCGACCCACAGGTTGAGAACCACTGTCCTAAGGCAAGCTGCTTATGAAAAGGAGATTCCCTTTATTTCCAAATAACAGCAACAAGGGTGCTCTTTGGGGCAGCTAGTAAATTGGGGTTCTTGGTGAGTTTTTATATATTTTCAGTTCTTTGTTATCGATGTATGGATATCTGTTCTTTCCACAATACTCTAATTCCCGGTATACATTTTCCTTTTGTTGTGTATGATGCTCTGGCTGATCTTTGGGGCTAAGGAAAATGTAAGTATAAATGTTTTTGGTTTTCTAATTTGGCCCTAGCCTGCGTAATCAGTTTCAGTCCTTTATGCAGTCGGCCCATCTTTTCAGAGATTGCTTTGTTAGGCTTTGTTGTGCTAATATTTCCAACCGCTGGAGAGAGTGTTAAACTCCGGTCGTATCTTTTAACTTCTAGAGCGTATCAATAATGATATCCGTGCAATTTTAATCTCCTTTATTAATTAGTTACTAAATACCAGGCTACACAAATGGCTGTCGAGTCTCTTCTTCAAAACCTCCAGTGTTGGAGCGTTCACCAGTTCTGGTGGAAGGTTGTTCCACTGATTAAGTATCCTCACTGTCAGGAAATTTCTCCTTCTGTTCTATTCTACATTCAATTCTATTCCCGATTCCTGTTGATTCCATTCCATAACGCTCTACTCTACTACTCTACTCTACTCTACTCTACTCTACTCTACTCTACTCTACTCTACTCTACTCTACGCTACGCTATTTCATAATCCATTCCATATTCCTTATATACGATATTGCATATTCCATATCCCACGTCATTCCATTCCATTTCCTATCTCCCATCCCATCCCATCCCATCCCATCCCACCCCACCCCACCCCACCCCACCCCATTCTATTCTAGTCTAGTCTAGTCTAGTCTAGTCTAGTCTAGTCTAGTCTAGTCTAGTCTATTCCTTATATTTTATATTCTGTCTTGTCCTGTCCTTTCTTGTCCTTTCCTGTCCTGTCCTGTCCTTTCCTTTGCTGTCCTGTCATGTCTTGTCCTGTCCTGTCCTGTCCTGTCCTATCCCATCCCATCCCATCCCATCCCATCCCATCCCA